TGAGGTTCTTGCATACATTTGTCTTCTCGTTTTAGAGAATAATACAATTAAATACCGGTACATGCACTTGTTAATCTGTTGTTTGCTCATCTGAGCTGAAAGCACAAGTGAGCTTTGGTGTTCACAATTTGTCTGAAGTTCATCTATAAACTTTTAACACTTTCAACTTCTCCAGAACCACTGGACCAATTTCAACCAAACTTTCCAAAATGAAATTTTTTATTTAATGAAGCCTAAACAAATGGTGTTTCTTCTTTGTAAGCAGAGTATAAAAGAAAAACCCATCAGTTTTTTAAAATCTTGTTTAATGCTAGAGTAGAGCTTCAGTATCTCAAATACCATTGATATATCAGTCCCAATCTCTTGTTTTGTATTTTACACTCGATCTCTTGAATCGACGGATATTTTAGTCCCATTGAATGTGAGATAACTAGGTTTGACTGTAAAATAAGTTGCAAAAGAGATTTTTCTAGGTTAAAATTTTTTCATGTGAATCAAGCTTTGTGAAGATCTTTTCAGAACAGTAGAGCTACGGGGAATGTGGTGAGCATTATATCCCCTAGATATTTTGAACTTGTACCTATTTATTATGCCCCTCTTCGAAGAAGGGAGGGGATATTGTTTTGCTGCTGACAGTCGGTCTGTCTTGGTTCACCAAGTTTCCATTCATGTTTGTATACCCCCGGCAAACGAAGTTTGAAATTTGATATACTGTCTGTAGACGAGATATACTGGTACCATTACTCAGAAACTGTTGGAAGGATTTGTCTGAAAATTTGTACACATATTATTCACCATATGAAGTTGTGCATCTGATATTTTCATCTTGATTCGATTATTATTTTGAATTTTACAGGTGTTTTTTCATTTTTATTTTGTGGTTTTGAGGGGGGCCGTTTCTACAGAAACTATTGCAAGGATTAATCTGAAAATTTGTACATTATTATTCAAACTAGGTGTGCACCTGGATTTTGTTAATTTTTTTGCATTTTACAGGTTTTATTTTTTATTTTAATTGACTTGTTCATTTTGGGCTCATGTATAAGGTTTGAGATATAGAATCTAGAATATCTGTTCAAAAATACTACAGCTTAAAACTACTCATAAAAACTTAAAAAAAAGAAACATCATCAAGTGTTAAAAACAGTTTTTACATTGCACAGAAGATAATGTAATTTCATTTGTCTCTTGGGAATAATGACTGGACATGCATCCAGTCAAAGAAAAATTAATGAGTTTGGTGTTGGAAGTTGTTAAGGCATATCTCTTATCAAGCATGTGTGTTATCTAATCTCCAGGGAATAAGGCACAAGAATTAAAGATCTCTCTTCTCTTATTCTCTTAATTGTAATTTATTGTCTGTCAAAGCACTTCATTACTGGATGACCAGCTCTTTATTTTCAAAATGCATTAATTTTCAAATTCATATATCAAGATTAATTTGATTTTGTGTTATGTTTTTTTTTAACAATCAGTTTGCAGAGTGACATAACACATAATTGCAATATTTTTTTTTAATGCAGAAATAAAAAAAAATAAAATGAAAAAATTAAAAAAATGTTACAGTGGAATTACAATGTATTAGTATTGATGTTTCATTTGGTTGCAAAATTCATTAAGAAACATGATGAGCAATTATATTTCACTGCAAATTTTTGTAAGTAAATTGTGAACACCTCTAGATCCATAAAGTATTTTTGAATTGGCACCTTCTCTGAAAAACCCAGCGGGGGGTATTTGTCCCTATTGGACAGTTCTAGTTTTTGTTGCACATACTAAATTGAAATTTGATATACAGATTTATCATAAGAATATACTGGTAGTTCTGTTTTGGATACGATCGAGCCAATTTTTGACAGAGTTGTGCCCCTTGGACTTTGAAAAATTTCAATTATTTGGGGGAGGGGGGCATAAGTGTTTTACAAACATCTCGTTTGCAAATTGTTTGGAATACATGTACATATACCATCAAACTATTGAGCTTAATATTTGGGTACTGGTTTGGAATTCTCAAACTTTGCCAGCCTATTCATCTTTTGGCCTCAGGGTTTCAATATAAATGGTCACAAAGACCTACCCTCCCTAAGATTACAGCTCTTGTCTTAAAAATCTTTTTGAATTTCCTGGATTTGTTTTTTTACATCTTGGAACTGAAAGACCCAAAAGAAGGCCACACTTATTTATCAGAAGTCATGCTTTTTTCTTCTCCTTTGTGTTGATGATAAAAAAAATTTGTTCACAATATTAATGCATGTAAATAAATATAAAGTAACTAAAAGAACTTTTACAAAATTCCCAAAGAATCAATGAAATAATTACAATAATGTTAATTTAAGCATCTCCTATGTAGAAGCACGTGTACATTTCTAATAATCAAAGACCAGCAGGACTGGGTTGCTCAAAACTCTGGTTAAGGTTAACCGTTGGTTAAATCTCTTATCCAGTGGATTAACTTTTAACCGTTGGTTAAATTCTGTTAATCAAAATTTGTCCATTGGTTTTTTATTGTGGCAAAACAATTGCTAAAGTTAGCCATTCCAAAAATTAAATATGACTAAAAAATTATTATTTGTTGTAAATTTTGAACAAAAGAAACAAAGGCTAATATTGTAAGAAAATTGCATATAAATCTGTAATATAAAGTCAAGTTGACATGGTTTTGTCAATATTGAATAACATCACAGTCAGGGTTGCTGTTTTTATCAAGTACAGAAATGTTTTAAATGGGTTCTTTCAGGGAAATTTTGCATTACAAAGGATATCAAGCGGCCTTCCCTTGCTGAAAAATAAATAATTATTATAGGTATATTTTAAATAAAAATTATAAATGAATAAAATTGTTGTCATTTGCATATAGGTCTAATAATACATATATATAAATTGTTCTTTGGTTACCATACATATATTTAAAATAATTGAGAAAGACCCCCCCCCCCCGACACACACACTCCTCTCCCTTTTTTAAAGATCTTGCATTATGTATTTGTTTTTCAAAATAATATTAGTTATCATTTCCTTGCCGATATTTTTAAACTTTTTTATCAAAACCTTTCTTGTTAATTAAATTTTATTGTAAACTACTTCCTTTGATTTTATATCAAATTTGCTATGTGTCTTAAAGTCAATAAAAATATTCATCAAAATTATTTGTTGAAATTGGGAAAATAGTACATAAGATTTTTTTTTTTTGTTTGCAAAGAGAGACTTTATATTTGATGTCCATTATATAATTTTTTTTATCATTGAAATCCACTTGCTTATTTGTCTATAAAACAAGATTTTTATGTAAATTTCACATATTTCTAATAGTGAAAATTTCTTTGGGATTTTGGGATAACACGTTTTACAGCAAAATTTAATTGTAAGCTTTTATTTTCACTCTAGTTTACTGATTCTTTACTATTCAAAAAAAATGCAGCCCACTTTCAGAATAGCCCTTGTTGCAAGATTCTCATAAACGATGAAACTATGTGATGAAAAGTGGTCACATAAACTGTTATCAATTCATTAAAGATCCAATAATGAGAGAAAGTCTAGCTTAATGTCATATGATTTCTATGTTGTATGTCATCGAGCTAATGACATTATTTATTGAACGTCCCTCGTACCTTTCTAATAATCAAAGACCAGCAGGTGTTTTACTTCTTTAAGCTGTATTATGCTCAGATATTAAAAGACAAAAGTTTTCTTTTATTTTCACATTCATTTTGGAATGTTACCACAAAAGTTTACAGGAGACAAAGACTTTCTTACCACATCTTAAACATTAAAAAAAATTATTGTATCACAGAAATTCTTACAATCTGAATTGCATAATGATAGAACCTATTGTAAATGTCATCAGATCAATAATGTTTGCAATATAAGTATACTTCATGACATAAACAACTTTTTAAAATCTATGTTTATATTACTTTAAAAAAGTAAGATTTACATTCCATCTCAATCCAGGTGTTTTACTTCTTTAAGCTGTATTATGAAAAATATAAAACACAAAAGTTTTCATGTATATACACATTACAAAGCCACAAAAGTTTAAAACAAAGACTTTCTTACTGCATCTTAAACATTCAAAAAAAATTAGGTAAAAATTCAAATTTTGAATTGCATAATCCTTTCCATTTTAAATGTCATCAGATCATAATGCTTATGTAAATAATGTTTGCATTATTAACATGACATAAACAACTTTTTAAAACATGTTTGTAAAACAAAAAAAGGATATACATTATCGGGTGTAAAATTAGAAAGAAAGCACTTAGAAAAATATAATGAAAAAAAAAGTACATGTATATGTATATACACATTACAAAGCCAAAAAAAGCATCAGATCTGAAATACATGTAATATGTAAAAAAACAATTTTTGATAAATGCATACCTTTCCAATAAGCACCCATTCTCCTTGCAAATCTCCATTAACATTAGCATTTAAACATGTTTGTAAAACAATGAAAGGATATACCGTATAGCGGGTGTAAAATTTGGTGTTTTGCCTGCTCAAGGGTATGCCAATAATATTGGCGTAATTTATTTTAGTGGACGCAGAGTTTCAGCTCTTTGCAGACAAACACTAAAGAGAGTACTGACTATTTTAGCGATTAAAATTTTAGTGGGCTACCACCAAAATGCCAAAATAAGCTAAAATTAGCACCCTGCTAAAATAACCCGCTATATGGTCTTTATTGTGCCTTTTACCACCCCTCCCCTCTTCAATGCTAAATCACATTTTTCAATGTGTAAATAGTAGCTTTCTACTCTGAACACTTCAATATAATGCCCTTGCTGGGCAATCAAATCAAAATAGCTTGAATTATGGGGTTGCAGAAAATAAATCAAAAAAAAAAAAATTCAACATCTTGACTAGACGGATTCATAAATGTTCATGTACTAGCATTTGGCACATCACCTAGAGAAAATTCAAAAGATATTGACAACCTCTATCCATGTTGAAAAGGGGAAGTAATTTCCATGTGAAAGTTATAGCACATTTTAAAACTATTTGTGAATGTAAAGCACAGATATCACTGAAGATCCATCCCAAATGCACTATAATCACATTCAAACAATCTCAGTTTTAAATGTTTAATCATTCAAGTGAATGCATTCAGAAATCAGGTATCTCGGATGACAGTTCTCTAGGAGAGAGTTACTTGGAATGTCCGTATTTCCATTGGGTTAAGAATCACGGTAAAATTATCTGCTGCTGTGATCTTGTGTCGCATTAATTTGGTACCTTGAAAGAAAAAAAATTGCACAATGTCAAGTAAAAGAAAACAAACGAATCTGACTTTGACCAATATATTTAAATAAAATTTGTAAAACTAGTATGAACTACATGTATATAAAAGTGTGAGAAAAATACATGTATATCAATATAAAAGAATCTATTGTGATATTTTCAAGATATTTTACAAACACGAAAATGTAAAAAACAAAAAAATACAACAAACAATTCAATAAACAAATTTGTGATGACAGCATACCAACCTACCAGTATAATACAGGTAAATATCAGTATCTCGAACATGGGATATCTCGAATACCCCGCTTATGTCGAAGTCGATCGCCGGTCCCGGCCGTTTTCTCTATATTTATGATTTAAAAAACACCTGATATCTCGAACACGGTAATCTCGAATACCCCGCTTATGTCGAAGTATATTCAAAGTCCAAAGCCCTTTTTTACCTGGCTTATCTCGAAGTGCAGTGAATTTCTCGGTCTACTGAACACACCTGGCATCGTGACTTCACACATTCTCGCCAGTGGCTATTAATTAACTCTTTCAAACCGGAGGAAACTTAATTAATCCCAAGCTCATGTTGGGTATCTGTGGCAGGTTAATTGCAATTGGTATCACAGCTTGGGTATTTGGTGTAGTCTACGACCGATAAAAGAAACCACTTCGCAGCAATTCAGAACTTAAAAAAAGTCGACTAGAAACTTGTTTAGCTAACGTGAGAAGCTGGATGTGCGCAAATCTACTAAAATTGAACCAGGATAAAACTGAGTTTATTGTTTTTACACGAAAGAGTCAGCTTAAAAGATCTTTTACACACCAACTCGATTTTGATGGTTCTGTCATCTGTGAATCAGATTGTGTGAAGAATTTGGGAGTGTTTTTCAACAAATCACTTACCATGGAGAATCAGATTAGCGCAGTGTCCAAATCCTGTTTTTACCACCTACGAAATATTAGTCGAATTCGTCCATTCATAACAGAAGATGCTTGTAAGACTCTAGTTGTCGCTCTAGTTACATCAAGACTTGATTATGGAAATGCACTACTCTGTGGAATTACAGAGACAAATATATCACGTCTACAGAGAGTACAAAATATGGCAGCAAGGATTGTCACCCGAACTAAGAAGCATGATCATATCTCCTAAGTCCTGATATCTCTTCACTGGCTACCAGTCAAATTTAGAACATATTATAAGATCCTTTTATACACTTTCAAAGTACTCGGGACATCACCATCATACCTAAAGGAACTCATAACAGTCTATAAACCGTCAAGGACTCTACGTTCGTATGACTCCAAAAATCTTGTGAAACCTCGTGTTCGCACGGAGACATACGGAACGCTTCGATTTGACCATGCAGCAGCAACTTTGTGGAATGGTTTACCGGATGCTCTCTGGTTTCAGACGTCACTTTTAGCTTTTAAACAGGATCTTAAGACTCATCTTTTTAAGATAGCATACAATGTGTAATTTTTTAATTTTTTTGAACAAGTTATCGAGTTTTATTATCCTCAGACTATTTATTTGGGCACAACCTGTATTGTGTGAAGATTTTAAGTTGATCTCAAGTTGATCTTAGTGCAGCAGCTTATAATTTTAGCTTACTCTTATGTTAGTAATGATCTCGTACAATTATTTTAGGTTTTATGTTTTAATGATTATTATGTTGTATTTAACTACTTGTATATCTGAAACACTGTCTGTTCAGCGCCGTAGAGTAATTTATTTTAAATAGGGCGCTATACAAATGTTATTATTATTATTATTATTATTAAATACAGACAGTATTACCGATATTGCATTTAATAATATGCTCTGTATAATTAAAATCGTAAATTCATATAACACAAAGACTTTTCACGATAATCTTAAATTAAACAGTTAAGTTGCAGTGCATAATGCAAAGTGCAGTGATTGATTACATTCATGTTTATCTGCGTATAAGTAGATAACCTTGACCGCCATTTGCATTGTCAGTTTCGTAAACTATATGTTCTTTAGTAGTACTTCGTAATGTAATACATGTAAACTATTTATAATACTCAAGTACACAGTTTAAATGCTTATTATTTTTTTTAGTGTTCTAAATAACATTTTCTATCAAATAATGTTGTTTAAAAATTCGTCTTTTTCTTTTCTTACGGAGAAGGTTCTTCAACTATAATGCTAATGATACATCCCGATTGACCTCGTAAGCATGGCCTGGAAAATGTAAAATCGCTGTATATGCAATAAGGCATGTATATTAAACTGTTTTACAATTATACACGATAAAGAAAACGACGACAATGTTTTTCTTAATATTTATTGCGAATATGCTTGAGTCTTTACCATAAAGACTACATGTTTGGTAATACAGAATAGTGTTATGCATGAAGATATATACAAAAAAAATCCCGGGAAATTATTGAATCGACTTTGGAAGATAACCTTGGATATCTCGAACCCCGGATATCTCGAAGTCGTGTCCAGGTCCCCTCAACTTCGAGATACTGATATTTCACTGTATATAAAAGACCCTTCCCATTGGAAACATTATTAACTTAATCACTGCAAAAGAATATGAGGACAGTTTAATCATGAGGGAATAAAACCGGATTCTACCTGTGATGTAGTCTTTTGTTTTCCACTGTAGTCTCTGGAGATCACTCAGTGGTAAGTTAGCCCCCAGTGTTAACTCTTCAATGGTTTCTATACTGAATGGTACAAACATATCCTGAAAATGAAACATACATGTATAATGTCAGAATTCTACAATAAAACTCAGTTATAAAGAACTTAGTTTTAAAGAAGACTTATGTTATATTAGGAATTTATAATGAATCCTGGGGCAACTTTTTACTAATTGTTTCCTTTATAGTTTCCTTAATAAAGAATCTGGCTTTATATAAGGAAGTGGAATTTTGAAATTCCAATAATTTCTATTTCACCCAGTTTTACTGTCTATCAAATGAGGAAAAAAAAAATAATGTTCTGAACAAACAATTCTTTCTGAATTGATCCTGGAGAAAAGAGTTCACATTTTTACCTTCACCATCAGCTTGACAGGTTTAGACAATTCAGAGTTCTCTCCCTTCTCATAAATATGTTCAAATCTGATGAGGAAGGGTTGAGTGGGGCTGGGTTTGATGGTGGGGCCACCCCACTGCTCCAGGGTCAACATATGGACATTGGCAGGTAATGGAGTCTTCAGTCCAGACCACTGCAACAAGAAACAGATTAATAAATGGATAATCTTTCCACTACCTGTATACCTGGTATGCTTTATGATGCCCAGCAAGAAAAGAGAGTTTCTGTTTCTTACAGTAGTGTGGAATTTCTGGCTCCAGTCCTGTTGTTTTAACTGAGAGGCAGTGAATGATAGAGAGGGGGCCATGTACAGCCGTAGTCCCATATCCCTGTGAAGGGCTGCTGAATTCTGCACCGTATCCAGAAACAAGAAATGCTTCCCTGAAAAAATTATGTTATCATTTTGTTTTAAATGTTACACTCCTTAGTAATTGTGAAAATATAAGGGGGTAAGACTGATTTTCTCAGATTGATTCTATTTTCATATAATCATGGTGTATATTGTATTAATATTATATGCAGATCACAAATGAGTGGGTCTCATAATTTGTTTCTGCATGATTGATAAATATCACAAATAGCATTTCAGTATACAACTGTATTTCAATAAGGCCTACTGGCATAAAAAATTCCCATTTATAACAAGTACGTTACCTCTGGCAATGAGACCCTTCCCATCAGCCC